ATATATTCTGTTTGTGTGAATTAGTTATAACAAATTAGTCATGTTGATCTTAGCTGGGTCCAGTCGACAGCCAGCCGTTTCTGGCAATTGCCTCTTCCCTCCTGCTGCTAATGCACCAGGTACTCGCTCCTATCCTATTGAATTACTAAAGTTGTAAAATTTCGAATAGTGCACAGAATCTCTGTATCATTGAAAATCTGTTTTAATATATTATCACCATTTATTATATATATGTATATAGGATATATATATATATTGATGGCACAGTAGAACCCCACTTCACATATTGATCAGTGAATTTTACGATATTATATTATGCATGCGAAATAGCAATCGGAATGGCACGCGATATAGTTTCATTCTTTAGTTGATGCATGACTGTTTACATCATATGCATAAAGTGAACTCTTTATGCGATTCAGAAAACCGAGAGCATAGTTAAACCACTAAAACGTACCTAATAAATTTGTTACAATTAATCAAAATTATTAGGTGGGAGAAGCGCGATAGGAGGGGGAGAGAGTATGAGTAGCAGCCCTGTACTCTGCGGCTCCCCCCGAAGTGTCGGCCTCTCCCTATTACGTAAGATCATTTTTACACGCTAATATATTTATATCCTAATCCTAGTTTACATCGCATCAAAATCGAACAATCACTCATCAGATTTCATACCGCTGTAATTTATATTTCACATTTTAATACAAAAGCGAAAGAAGTATATATATATTCTTTAGAAACCTTTAATTTTCAACACGCACGAAGTTAATCTGCATGACTTAAACTTTTTGAATGAGTTGTGTAAGCGAATGTTATAAATGTCTTGCTCTATCACTATCCATGCGTTTTCCAATAAGGTGAGAAAGTGATACTCTCTTGCCATCAGGATTAAATATTCGAATGTATTTTGTGGATAACGGGCACACAACTCGCGGTCGTCATTATATTATTATTTCTTTTTAAAGTGTCAGGAGGGATGATCGACAGCATAACGTCGCAACGACGCGGTTCGACACAGAGCGACACAAGTGCCTTGGTTAGCAGCTTGACAAGAGATCCATCTCAGTCACCGAGTGGTATCAGTACTACTGCCAATACGCGTGATCTATCACCGAGTCCAAGTTGCAGTTCTTTACACATGAGATCTGAGGGCAGCATAGCGAGCCCACCCGATACTCCTAAAAAGGAGTGTGCTGTAAGCAACTTTTTTGCATTTTAATCGTCTTACTTTCTTCGCTAAGATAAAGATGCATGAAAAAAATCTCTGTTATGTGATATCGTTTATAAAATTATGCAAGGAACTATATAAACCATATTGTTTATTACAGGATCCTCAGGAAAGTCCGCGCAAAATGTCTCAAGCGCAAACGCAAACAAGCCCCGAAAGCGCTGCTACAGCTATGAAAGGTCATTTCAGTATTGGCTCGTCCGGAGTAAAAGACGAACGACACTCGCCGAAAATGAGCAGAAGGGATCACATGAAGGCCGTGAAAACTAGAGCAAAACGCGCCATGTCGCCTGCCAACGCACAGCAGAGTCCAAATCCTAATCGTGCTCTAAATTTAAGTAAAGACAAGGTTAAGGAAGCGATCAGTCCTTCCGTAGCAGAATGTCTGAGGGCTGTTTTCGCGGCGTTTTTGTGGCATGAAGGGATCGTGCATGATGCTATGGCTTGCGCGAGTTTCCTCAAGTTCCACCCGAGTTTACCGAAACAAGGTGCACTGGTTGTAACCAGGCATACCGTCGTACAATCCAGTGACAAGCAGCAACAAGAACAAAAAGCACGGCAGAGACATTCCGTCGAGGTGACGAATGCCGGCAATTATTTGCACATCCAACCTAGCACGTTGGAAACACTCACGCGTTCAGCTGCGAACGCTAATGCCAATAGGAGCAGGAAGAAACAGGAGAATACGTTCAAAGAAGAGATTCAGGCAAACTCGGGCAAGCTCAGTTCCCTGCCCGAATTTCACACAGTCGCGGTACTGCCACCCGCATTGAAGAGCCTGGTTTTTCTATGGGAAGAACTCAGCACCAATTGTTTGCAGGCCATTGAACAACAATCGATCCTACCTAGTCCTATATCGCAGATACAGACGATGAAGCTGGCGAAACGGCCGATACCAGAAAAACGTCCCAGAGAGGATAAAGTGAAGGAACGCGAGAAGAAAAGTAGTCGGAAAAAGAAGGAATGGAAGCCTATTGGTAGAGCGAATGCATCTGAGGTTTTGGCGGGGATCGAACGCGAGACTATCTGCGAACTTTGTGGCCTGATGTTCCCACATCCAGTCACTTATCATATGAAGATGATGCATCCAGGTTGCGGCTGGCATGCGGGCGGAAAAGGATACAACAGCGGTGGAAACTACTGTGTGGGGTGGGCAGGCAATTGTGGAGATGGTGGAGTTGGTGGTAGCTCGTGGTATTTAATCTGTGACACATGTAGAGATAAATATTTGAAAGCCAGAAAGAGCAAGTTTGCAAAGAAATTTGTCAGCGGGATTTCCAAGAGAAAAAACGGCACAAGTAAAATTCTGTCTCCGATTAACAGTCCCAGTGCGAATGAAACTCATATTATCATGAAAAACAATGCGATGTTTCTATTGGATTTGGCTAGCGCTTCTGGCTTTAATATCCCGAAACAGCAGAGACGACCTTCGCAGACTTTATCGTCTGTGGCGGAGAATTATAGTCCTCCAGAGGCCGTCGGACCATTTCCGCCAACCGGACCATTCCAGTGTTTGCAAGCTTTAGGTGTTCATCACTCACAAAGTCACGACGAAAGATATTACGAAGAAACTCTGAGACGTGAAAATGGACAACAAAATAATTATGAAGGAAGCAGTGGCGCATTTAATATCACAAATGGCAGGGTAAGAAAGTATTTTTTGTTTTCTATTTTTAATATTTAACATTGCTTTAATTATATCGTCTGATTTGCAGCCATTATCAGAGTATCCAATGAGTGACAGTGATAATGAAAGCGGCAAGAATCGTAGTATGTTCCATAGATCGGTATCTATGTCTACTGGCGCGCCTTGGGCTAGAAATAGTAACGACGGCAGAGTTGTTATGATGAGGAAACGGAATAATAGTAGTAGCGAAATGAGTAATGGTACGCGCGTTTCTATGCATTTTATATAAAAAAAAAACAAACAATATTTCGTTATTTTTTATTATAAATAAATACTAAAAATTTTTTTTTTATGAATAAATATTAATAAAATATTTTCTATTATTTTTCAGAAGCGGGTTCTTCGCTTTTGTGTTATCCGTCTGCTGCACTTCAAAAATTAGTGCCATCGATGGATCAATCCGCAATAGTATCCACTAGCCAAACCGAAATGGCAAGTAACGATCGAATTGAGATTCTCATGAGACCTGTGATGTTATTTGTTCTTCAACAACACAACTTGCAACATCTGCAGCTTGCGATGAAGCAAGCATTGCGTCGTGCTGCCTGTCGAGTTTACGCGATGCAGGCGTTAAATTGGCTTTTAAGAAGCGTGACGCAACCAATTTGTTTGCACGACTTACTGTGGTGGTTCGTCTCGTCTCTTACGCCGATTGTTCCTTCTGATAATACAGACGCGAATGATGATGATAACAAAACAGAAAAGAAAGAAGATCATGTAAGCAAAATTTTTAATAAGATTTTATTTGTTAATGTAGACATGAATATGATATGGTTATTGCTTTAATTTTCAGGATACAACCGGCGTCAGTGAGCATCCTTTATGTGATTTAATGATAGCTGGAGAATCTGTCAATCCATTACCCACTGTGTTTCATACCTTATTGCAAACAATTGCGGACTTAATGCTATTACCACCACTTGGTAAGTATTCGCAGCAAGATGGACTTAAGCAAATGGAATTTAAATGGACATTTTTTAAATGGATATATTGTAATTATTTATTTACAGGATCTCCATTACAACAAGCTGCGATTCGATGCTGGGGTATTCGATTTACGCCAGCAGATCATATGTTTCTGCATAGAAGTCATGTATTTAGTAATATTAGCAAAATTCTTTCACGTTCCGAAGAAGAAGAGGATGTGACAATGAGTATGCATGAGAGCCACCAATCAACAGTTTCGCAACAGATAAGCAGTTGTGTGGAAGCTTTAAAGGATTTAACATCTAGCGTTGAGATCAAAGCTTCCAGTCGCCAAGCCATGATTGGTAGTCTAACAGACAATTCAACGGAAACATTTTGGGAATCCGGAGATGAAGATCGTAACAAAACTAAAGTTATTACTATCATTTGTGGTGCTCATACCGTGCCTAGAATGTTGTACGTACACATCGATAACTGCCGCGATTTAACAGTAAGTTCTTTTCATAAAAATTGGGTTAACTGTATCACAAATAATGTTTGTCTAATTAAACATTTTTATTCAAAAGCATAAAGTGTCAAGCATAACTTTCCTGTCTGGTGTTAACGCAGATGATTTTTATGAATAAATATTAATAAAATATTTTCTATTATTTTTCAGAAGCGGGTTCTTCGCTTTTGTGTTATCCGTCTGCTGCACTTCAAAAATTAGTGCCATCGATGGATCAATCCGCAATAGTATCCACTAGCCAAACCGAAATGGCAAGTAACGATCGAATTGAGATTCTCATGAGACCTGTGATGTTATTTGTTCTTCAACAACACAACTTGCAACATCTGCAGCTTGCGATGAAGCAAGCATTGCGTCGTGCTGCCTGTCGAGTTTACGCGATGCAGGCGTTAAATTGGCTTTTAAGAAGCGTGACGCAACCAATTTGTTTGCACGACTTACTGTGGTGGTTCGTCTCGTCTCTTACGCCGATTGTTCCTTCTGATAATACAGACGCGAATGATGATGATAACAAAACAGAAAAGAAAGAAGATCATGTAAGCAAAATTTTTAATAAGATTTTATTTGTTAATGTAGACATGAATATGATATGGTTATTGCTTTAATTTTCAGGATACAACCGGCGTCAGTGAGCATCCTTTATGTGATTTAATGATAGCTGGAGAATCTGTCAATCCATTACCCACTGTGTTTCATACCTTATTGCAAACAATTGCGGACTTAATGCTATTACCACCACTTGGTAAGTATTCGCAGCAAGATGGACTTAAGCAAATGGAATTTAAATGGACATTTTTTAAATGGATATATTGTAATTATTTATTTACAGGATCTCCATTACAACAAGCTGCGATTCGATGCTGGGGTATTCGATTTACGCCAGCAGATCATATGTTTCTGCATAGAAGTCATGTATTTAGTAATATTAGCAAAATTCTTTCACGTTCCGAAGAAGAAGAGGATGTGACAATGAGTATGCATGAGAGCCACCAATCAACAGTTTCGCAACAGATAAGCAGTTGTGTGGAAGCTTTAAAGGATTTAACATCTAGCGTTGAGATCAAAGCTTCCAGTCGCCAAGCCATGATTGGTAGTCTAACAGACAATTCAACGGAAACATTTTGGGAATCCGGAGATGAAGATCGTAACAAAACTAAAGTTATTACTATCATTTGTGGTGCTCATACCGTGCCTAGAATGTTGTACGTACACATCGATAACTGCCGCGATTTAACAGTAAGTTCTTTTCATAAAAATTGGGTTAACTGTATCACAAATAATGTTTGTCTAATTAAACATTTTTATTCAAAAGCATAAAGTGTCAAGCATAACTTTCCTGTCTGGTGTTAACGCAGATGAGATGACAAAGCTAATTTCTGTAGAGATTGAAAGTAGATCAGCTGGATGGATTAATTGTCCAATCACTGGTAATATAAAAATGTTGTAATTTTTACTATTTTAAAACAAGGTATGCTTTAAAGACGTTTGATCTATATCATATTGTAATTGTATATAGATCAACGCCATATAGTAGTAGGTATGGAATTAAAGGGTCCAGATAATTCTTTGAGAGTTCGTCAAATCAGAGTGCTTGGTGAGATCGAAGGAGGATCTTTAAAAATAGGAAAACAACTAAGCGCACAGACTATCCAGCAAAGAAATTGCGAGGCAGAAACCTTGAAAGTATTCCGTCTAATCACATCTCAAGTAAGCGTGATTTCTTGTGATTTATTTTTTCGTTTAAAGCGTTGTATTCTTACAATGTATCGTATTGTATTGCAGGTATTTGGGAAACTTATACAAGGAGAGAAGCAACAAGAAACGGAATCGACTGAAGGTGTTAACGAAGATTTGGAGGACAGTAATGATCTCCGAGAACATATGGTCGGAATTTTATTTAGCAGAAGTAATTTGACACACTTACAAAAACAAGTATGTACTCATATCGTGCAAGCGATTAGAAAAGAAACTATACGTTTGAGAGAAGAATGGGAAATGCTTCTGTGTTCACCGACGCCCGTTAATAGTCTGTTGAGTGACAACAGCGATTTGCCAAAAGCGGCCGATACTTATTGCTTCGAAATGCTTTCTATGGTTCTTGCTTTAAGCGGAAGTTCTGTAGGACAATATTACTTATCACATCAGACTGGTTTACTAAAAGATCTATTAAGTTTGTTGCATACCGGATCAGCAAGAGTACAGCGTCAGGTACATTCTCTTCCTATTAGCGCTTGAAAGATCATACGTAGAATTTAAAACCATCTTTACCACGATTGTATTTTTCCAGGTAACATCTCTCCTAAGACGAATATTGCCAGAAATTAAACCCGAAACACTAGCGAGCGTTACAAACGTCGAACGATTACCGCCTACCGACTTCAGTATCGTATCTGCGGCGAACAGCGGCTTTACTCATGTTTCGGACTTCAATGAACATTCTGCCGGAATTCTCGACGTATTTTTAAGCTGTATCGCGAAAGCTTTGAATGTACAAGTTAAAGTAAAAGGGAAAGAAAATGGCAAGGCACTTCAAAGTACTTCATTAGCTACCAGCATTCACCCGAAAAGTTATGTTGGAACAAGATGGTGGTTGAGAGGTTGCATGACGCGTAAACTAGCAGAAGTGATAATCCAACTTTTAAAGGACATGGCATCGGTGAGTATGTTATGATATAATTAGTTGGTTTTAAAATATCTAAATCAATATCTTTTTATTCATATTACAGGGTAAGTTATCGGAGGAATGGGCGTCTATAACGAAAGCGGCTATAGCCGAGAATATCCTAAATTTAACCAGATTGGACGAAAAAAGTCGCGATCCTACAGAATGTCTTCGATCCCCGACACTATGGTTAGCACTCGCCTCTTTATGCGTTTTGGATTCGGATCACGTTGAAAGATTGTCGTCTGGTCAATGGAGCGGTTCTGAAGGACAACCGTTGCCGCCTAGAGTAAGATTATTACTACATTTCTTGATTACTATATGTATGATATATAGTAAAATTTTAATTAATTTTGTTTTTCTCATTTTTCTAGCCAACGTGTAGTAATCACGATGACGACGAGACCACGGCCATTATTCAATGTAATGTTTGCAGTAATTTGTGCGCGGAATGCGACAAAATTCTACATCTTCATAGAAGGACCAGAACGCATCTCAGACAAGTATGTAAAGAAGAAGAGGAAGCGATACGAGTTGATCTTCACGAAGGTTGCGGCAGAACGAAACTCTTCTGGATCTTGGCTCTAGCGGATAGTAGAACATTGAAGGCATTAATAGAATTTCGCGATGGTTCGCCGAGAAAACCGGTCGGCGCCACTACTGGTATTTGCCGATTTTGCGGTACCACGGGAAATACGGGCTTGCTAGCGATAGGCAACATCTGCGCCGATCACGATTGTCAGGAACATGCCAAAAACGCTTGTAACAAGGTTCACTCTTGCGGTCATATTTGTGGGGGTGTTAGAAACGAGAGAACTTGTTTACCTTGCTTGCATCGTTGCTTACCGGGGACGGATTTGAAACAGGACGCCGATGACATGTGCATGATTTGCTTCACCGAAGCCCTGTCCTGCGCGCCGGCGATTCAGTTGCAGTGCGGCCATGTGTTCCATCTGCATTGCTGCCGACACGTCCTGATGAAGCGCTGGGTGGGACCGCGGATCACCTTTGGTTTCTCTCTCTGCCCGATCTGCAAAGTACCGATGGATCATCCAACATTATCCGAGCAATTGGCAAGCGTGAAAGAACTCTATGAGGATGTACGAAGGAAGGCTCTAATGCGCTTGGAATATGAAGGCTTGCACAAGTAATATTTTCAAATATATATTTGGTGTTGCAAAAGAAATATTCTACGCGATAAATGTATACAACAAATTATTTTTCGCAGGGCCGAAGGAGCTTTTGCACCCGGTAGTCGTTATCAGGACTCCGCTGCCTATGCGATGGAACGGTATGCGTATTACGTATGTTACAAATGTCAGAAGGCTTATTATGGTGGTGAGGCGCGTTGCGACGCACAACTAGGTGGGGAATCTTTCGACCCTGCGGAACTAGTGTGCGGTGGCTGTAGCGACGTGGCAAGGGCACAGATGTGTCCGAAGCACGGAGCGGACTTTCTCGAGTATAAATGCCGATACTGCTGCTCGGTGGCAGTCTTCTTCTGCTTCGGAACCACGCATTTCTGCAAACCCTGTCACGACGACTTCCAGCGCGTTACCACCATCCCGAAGAGCGAGTTGCCTGTATGTCCCGCTGGTACGTGTACGCTTTTTTTCATCAAAATGATTTCAAGATGATACCTGTCTTCCAAAGATGATAATGTCATATCGATCTTTTTTTCAAGGTTCCAAAGCTAAGCAATTAGAAGGAGACGAATGTCCATTGCATGTGAAGCATCCGCCGACCGGAGAAGAGTTCGCTCTAGGTTGCGGCATCTGCCGCAACGCACACACGTTCTAAGCTTTCAGTACTATCTTATGATTTTTAATGAAATCGGAATTGACACAGTTTAAAAGCCAAGTATGAAAATGGATTCGCGATGACAAGTTTATGATGCTAGGAGAGGTATACTTGTAAAATAATGGATAAGTCGCAAGTTTTTATCAGTAAATTTAGTAATTAATTCTCGACGATAATGAAAAAAGCTCGTCAACTTGCTTATCAAACTTCCACATATGAGTAAAAGGGAAAGAATTTTACGTCATGCAGGATATAATAAATAAAGGAAAAAGATACTTGTAATATGTATCTTAACATTTTGAGAGACGTAAAATAATATATAATTCCCTGTACTATTTATATAAGAAATGATTGACTCTTTAGTATTATCAATAAGTAATACACAAGTAAGTTATATTATATATATATATATAACGAAAGTATGTGTATTTTAGAAAATACACTAAATTGTCGCAAGTATCATTTATAGACATTAAAAATGGATGAAAAAGATGATATATGTATATACATATGTAACACACGTGTATATACATATATAGTTATACATGTATTATATAATAATATTATATATTATATTAATAATTTAATAATAATTTAATAATATATATAATTATATATATTATTAAAAATAATAATTATATATATATTTATATTATATATATATATA